ACTTTTCTGGCTACATGCCACGCAGAACATTCAATTACATCCTCTCGACTCGCAAAGAAGAAAACAGCTGCAACTGATTTTTTTCTAAATGCTGAGCTGTGCCCAAATAATTCAGGAACGCTAGACCACTTACAGACCAGTTTCGAGCTTTGGGCTCTCATCAGTGCAGAGGTGTCTTTAGATGGCATCTTGACCACTATCTGATACGAACCTGAGCCAACTCAAACATATCCCAGCATTTGATACCCACGAGGCTTTTAGCATTTGCGAGATGGACACGAACGCTTCCTCTGAGTAGAAGGAAAGAAACACTCGATAACAAATTCCCATTTCAGACAGATTTGGAGTGACTGGTTGCCAGACTTACGTTTTTTCAACTAGGAAAATGCATTGAATTCATCTTATTCTGTGTATATGCTGACACTAGAATGCATATGCAATATAGTTCAACAGTGTGGTGAAAGGTATGGGCAGATCGTCTATGCGCATGTGCAGAATTAGGTTTATTTTGTACAGTGCTGGCTTAAGGAAAATCATTGTACCTACTGTATAGAGGCTGTGATTATCATGGATACAATAAATGTCAGTATATTTAAATCAGCTGTGTATTCGACGTCTTCATCAGTAACACGATGAATATCTTATAGGAATCAGGAAAATTTCAACAACGTTTAAACAATGATTCAAAAATTGGTCTGGTCCAACCAACTGGACCATTACATTTTTCACTGCCAAAGTGCCTATTAGATGATAAAATTCCAATTTCAATATGTAAACTAACCTTTCATGAGGAATATAATGAGTCCTCCTCAGGTACATTTGAAGGACTGAATTTGATTCTACATACATCCAATTTCCCTTAGATCATACCTATATCTTCTTGACGAAAATGTTTACTGCAAATAGCATTTTTTATCAAGAAGAACAACAGAGCATTTCTGTTGTGGGATGTCTTCCCAGGGCGTTCATGAAAGAGTTGATAAGTCTTGTTTCAGTCGATCCAACATTTGATAAGAACTTTCTTGTCAGAAACTCAATGAAACTCAATGAGCATAAACCTATAGTAACTTACGAAAAATGTGCTCCAGCACTCTTCCCCATCATTGTTTATGCTCAATAGAATTGTACAAGAAGAATACTTCTGCCAGCAGCGAACACAAGCACTTCTAAACTCATTAGCTTTCAAACACACATATACAAAACCTAACAAAAATATTTCCTCCTGGAAGAATCAGCAAAAGAACGATGTAGAAAATCTGACAAATCGTTATCGATAATAAAGCATTATATGAAAATTGAAGCCGTCTCTCCAAAACGCGAATGACACCCAGCGAGCACAAAAACATCTCAGAGATGTTAAAAGTACGAGATTTCGAGACATTGAACCTCCACTGCGATGTTCTGTTCACACATGAATAGAACTATTATAGAACAGCCAATGTCCGCCGCAGGCGTCAATTATCGAGTCCTTGATATGTCACAAAACTACCTTCTCCCTAGTTCTTTTTAAAGCCTTTTCATGGACACAACGAAACATTTTCAACGCGTCTTGCGCACATTAAATCGCTGTAAAAAACCATTTTCGAGGTACTTTTCTGAAGCCTCTTGTCAAAATGAACTTTTGCATTAGGATTCCATTTTCCTTAAATGAAAAAATGCATTACAAATAGATTGAACATAAAAATATTTTCTTGATATGAAATTGCCTTCTTAATCGGTTTCTGAGTAGTGCTTACTACACACACACATATAATTGGAAATAGGTTTCCCAATTTCTGAAATGTTCTCCACAATGCATAATTTTGCAACTTCAGAGAAGCTGTGTATTGATGAATTCGTACTTTTATATATTGATTACACTGAGGCACCGAACGATACATCTTGAATCTGATGGTCAGTATTACAAACTAAATAAGTCTTCTAACACAATAAACTTCACCAAATTCCTTTCTGTTCGTTAGCAGCGTGATGTAAGCGTGACACGCTGCAAACGCGAATGCCAATTGCGAACAAGAAGAACAAAATCGAAAACAAATCAGAATTCATCGTATTGTGACGTAAGCATGAGACGTTGTGGTGGGGCAAAAAAAGAAAGGGCACAAAAGAACAAAAACAATACTTTCAATATCCTTTTAAGACCTCTTTGGGAAGTGCATATTACGCCTCAAAAAACATCCTCATGCCTACATTTCTAAAACATCCCAAAACATCCCAGGGATACCTCTTAGTAAGCAAACAAAGAAATGCCACAGAAGAACAAAAACAATACTTCAATATCCTTCAAAGACCTCTTTGGTCAGTGCATATTACGTCTCAAAATAACATCTTCATGCCAACATTTTCAAAACATCCCGAAACATCCCAGGGATGTTTGTGCTCGCTGGGCAATGAACAATGTCAGTTGTCATCAGGAATGAGTGTGAATGTTGCTGAACTCACCTGATAGTGATCAATCAAGTCTTTCATCGGATTCAATTTGTGAACAGTACAAATATTGGACAGTATTCATATACGTTCATAATTCTGTACGAATCATTTGAAATATCTAGTCTAATATCGATAAAAATAGTTTCATCAATAACTCTTTTGGAATTCATGAAACCTTGAACTGAGCATGCGCACATCATGTAACAAGTCGCATATGCAACACGCTTTTCGCTGTCAAATTTCATATTTTTCATTCATGTTTCGCATAAATTCAACCGCACTCCTTCTTGGATTCACGACATTGTTTGCTGGCATTGTTTTCATAAATACTCGTATTTGGTGTAGATATCAATATCACCATTGTCCAGTATCAAAATAGCATGCTCATTTATTTTCCTCAATAGGGATTGTTCATACATTTGTTGGATATTCATTGAAATGAATGCCACACTCACTCACTCTTTGACATCATTGAAACATCGTAGGAAGGTCGGCGACCTCTCACTTTTCTATAGATACTTCCACGTGAAACGTTCTTCGAAAATCTCTGCTATCATCCCTTCACCAGCAATACCAGTCAGACGAACTAGACAAGCCCAGTCAGCACATCCTTTCGTTGTCAACCTCGAAAGATGTCGAACAGCACTTTATCGAAACTCCTTCATCCATAGAACGGCTAGGCTCTGAAATTCATTGCCTGAGGAAGTATTCCCAACAACATATTATCTCTAGAAGTTCAAAAAAAAATGTCAATACCTACCTCCTGTCCCTATCCTTCCTAGGAACGCACGATGTTCTTTGAACATTATAGGGATTTCCTATCGTGCGCTCCAAGCGAAAAAAAAAACTGTTTTGTGGAATAATTCATCTGTGTTAGGCGAAATAACAACGACTCATAAGTGGCAAAAAATATAAAATAGGTCCATTAGTTCATATTTTATGTACTATCATAAATTTATCCACAACAACCAATTCGAAAACCGAAAAAACTGTGACAATGATTTGAAAATTTCAAAGCAAACGAGTTTCTGTTTCTACTGGAATCCATCTAATTCATGGGAAGATGAAATTACTATCTGGGGAACCAACACTACCTATTTGAATTCAGCGCCATCAAAACTCAAGCCTGTATTTTCACTAGAAAGGCGGAACACAGTATGCCTGATATCTTGATCAATTTCCGGTAAGTACCACCATTTCCACAAAGTCCACTCAATCTATGCTTGATGATATTCCCATCAGCAATACTCTTAAAAAAAAATGTGTCAGACCCATCGCGAAATCTATTTCACAAAAACTCGGATTTTTATTCCTTGCGAAAATCTACTTCACATTTCACAGCTTCGTATGATCACAAAAGTATAGGCCACCTTCCACTTTTCTATATAGAGCTTTGAAACTCTTTGCCAAAGCGAGAATTTTCATGCAAGAACTTATATAATCTCAAGGAGTACAAAAAAATCCTCCTCTGTCTATCCTCCCTGGATACGCACGATATTTTCCAAACATTATAGAGAGTCTGTTTCGTGCGCTCTAAAAAATAAGACAGAAATCACATCCAAGTCGTGATGAAAGATCTGAGATACTCAATACAAAATTTAGGCAGATCCAATTGTTACTGAAAGTAAACCTACGTTCGAAAAATTATCAAAAAATCATTTTGTGTTTTATCAGTCTTTTAAGTTGCCCGACAATCGATTCATGTCGAATTATTAAAATTATCTGATCGATGTCGGGTAAATATATAGACTGTGCTGACGGGTCATGTCTGATTCGCCATGAAAACATCGATTTCACCGAAGAAAACTAAGAAAATCATAAATTCAATCCAGGTATTATGGTTTATTTTTTGCTAGCTCTACATAGGTATAGGTATGAAGTGTACCTCTATTGAAATGAAATCACTTCAAACAGCACATACAGCAGATATCTTATATCTGTTACCGGACAAACTCGATTTTAGGATAAACTAGTTTTTCCTAGGCTCAATCAGTATATCCGAAGGGCCATGGAACGCATTGATTTTTTTTTCAATCAGCTTGACTTGTTATCGATTCTTTGTTGATATTTTGAGATCAAGGAACATGTACCTCTGGCAAGACCAGTTTAGCCTAGGATTGACTAGTTCATCCTATCGCTCTACGGATCTACTAAATTAGCCTAGGAAAAACTAGTTTATCCTAAAATGAGGTTTGTCCGGTAACATAATATATTTACTCGATCTGAATATGTTGCTATAGGTAAGTAATTGTATTTGATTTTTGTTCCTTTGGAAAACTCGTTTTTCCATAATGAAATTGAATGGTAGGCAGAAGAATCGGTTCTTGGAATCGAGTCGGTGGTGCAGGCCTTATTGTATCGGTGGTAACGCTCAACAATTATTCAAATTCATCGGCAATCAGTGAAAACAGTCATTAGAAAACACATACTTGAAAGAAACAAGAAGCGATGATCGATCGGATATGCGAACGCATTGTAATGATTTTCAAATGCTCAACGAACGGGCTGCAAACAAACCAGTGGAATTCACAACCATACAGAAAGAAAAAACTACCCAATTATAGTTATCTTACCGGGAGTATGCTGTATCCTATAAAATTCGGCTAGCTCCGCACCAGAACACAATGGCGTATCAATGGCAACGGTATTATCGAACTTCGAATAGTTCACCTCGTATCCCTGTCTATCCTTATTATAAGAAACGACCGGTTCGAACCTGTGACCCCACAACACTTCACTAGCCAGATAGCTCGACCGAGCCTGCGTGGTTTGGCCGGTGCTTTCTATCGTTCCCTCCAAGATAACCACGATCTCGAATTTGTCCTGCAACATGTCGCAAGCAGAGAGATAGAAGAAGGGCGAATTCTCGTCGATCTTGTGGGCGATCGTCATCGGCCAGATGAAGAATAGGTTGCCATCACAGCCATCTGCGTTCACGACGAGCTCCGTTTGGAAGTTGTTCAGCATCTCGCCCTCCTTGGTCTTTTTGGCGCGGATGAGCTGCGCACGGATGCTGGCTCCGATGATGTGACTCTTGCGCATGTCTCCGACGCGGAACAGGAGGCTGAGATGGCCTTCGCGTTGACAGATGACGGCGTTCTTGGAGAACTGCAGCGTCTGCGTGCGCAGCTTCGGGCGCGTCATCTTGGCGAAGACTATGCCGACCATGAAGGCTTGGATGATCATGCCGGCGATGCTCTGCAGGCACATGATGAAGATGGCTTCGGGGCATTCCTCTGTGGTGGTTCGGACACCGTAACCTTTAAGTTGAAGATGAAGGGTTTAGAATCATTGATTAATCTCAATTATCGGTGTTTTGAGTAAGGTATCTTTCACATCACATAGAATTCAATTGGAGGAGGTAAATGTATCTAAGTATACTAAGTGTATTCAGATTAAATAGGAAGATTTTAACTGCGGATTCTAGGAATAAAAATGGTAAAAAAATTCATACGAAAATAGGTCCAGGAATAGTTAGGGAGTTATAGCCATGTGAAGGCAAGTCCGAGATGCACGTCTTCTTCTGAATAATTTCGGAACCTCTTCGTCATAAAATAACTAGATTTTGTATACGGGTGTCCGGAGATAAAACCGACAAGAATTGTGGGGTTATAGGGACTGTCAATATGATTGCAAAATGCCATGAACCAATGTCCAAAACCGCTTCGTTATTGACATACAGAGTGATTTGTGGATTTTGACAAAAAATTCAATCCGCCATATCAAATACAGGGATTAACCGATTAGATTCAAATTTGGTACACGAAATACACTGAAAAGCATCAACAAGTAGCCCTTTGATCGAAACCAATATCAGGACCGGAATGATATTTTTCCCCTATGTTGAGTTATTGTGAGAATATCTCACCCTGTATAATAATGACAAAAAATTTCAACTCAGATTCGACATCTACGGTAAAAATTGTATAGGAATTTGTTGAAAAATCTCCTGGCACTATCTTCGTTATTCCGTAATTAATTATTATTTTAATTTTTTTCTTTCAAAATTCAATTATTGTCGGATAAAGTACTATCGAAATTGGTAATATAATAAATATTAACGAAACCATGACATGAATATCGTTATTTTCTCCAATCAGTCCGTAAATCGTAGTAAAATAAAATACTCTCATTACCCGAAAAAACTGAAAAATAAATTCGTATCAGGACTGGAATGCGGTTTTCTATGATAATATTCCTGTAAGAATAAATGATCTAGTATAACAATGATCTGATCGCAGATTCGAAATGCACTGAGAAAAGTTAAAAACTTGTTGAAAAATGATCTGATTGAACTTTCAAATAATAAATCCGTATCAGTACCTCATAATGTTTGTGTATAAAGAATACTAGACTTGTGTCAAATTCAGAATTTCATTATGGAAAACCATTGTTCAGCTGTCATCAGCGTTTGTTTTATTGGTGTTCATTCATTATTCCAGTGTTTTTAGGATCAAACTATAGTTCTGAGAGTGTGCGTATGATGCCGTTTCATTTCACTTATGAGGAATACGCAGATATTCTATTTGTGTTTGGGCTTTAACTGGTGATGTTTACCTAAATTTCCTGGTCAATACTTGACCGGATCTATTGCAAGGTGTAAATGCCTGAGGTATATGGTTTCAGCATGATGGTGCTAGACCTCACTTTTCAGTTCCAGTTAGAAACCATCTCGATGCCAATTACCCCAATAGATGGATTGGCCGTGGAGGTTCAGTAAATTGGCCACTTTTATCCCCCGATCTAACTCAGCTAGATTATTTTTTATGAGGTCATTTAAAGTAAGAAGTTCATAATGAAGAAATGTTTTATGGGAAATTACTGCTGCATGTGTTAGTGTTAGAAATAACCCTCAAATAATTCGCTCTCAAAAATGTATTGATGTTGGAGGGCTCCACTTCGAAAATACTAATAATAACTACTGTAATACTGGGTAGTGAAAGTTTTTCACGAATTTGTTGCTTTTGTTATGTTCATTACAAACAGTAATTGTTTGTTGTGTAGTATTCTCATAAATTCAAATTCATTAGTGAGCGAATATAATTTACGAAAACATTACTGTTATCCTTCTTTAACAAGTTCTTATACGATTTTTTTAGATTCCGAATCTACGATCAGATTATTGATAACTGTTGATGTACTAGGTCAGCTAACATGACCAAACAAAACACTCATTCCAGTCCTGATACGAATTTATTCTTCAGTTTTTTCGGGTTATGAGAATATTTCATTTTACTCCGATTCATGAGCTGATCGAAGAAAATAACGACATTTATGTCATGGTTTCGTAAATATACGTACTTTATCCGACAATGATTGATTTTTCAATGAAAAAAATCAAAATAATAATTAATTACGGAATAACTAAGATGGTGCCAAGAGATTTTTCAACAAATTCCTGTACAATTTTCACCGTAGATTGCGAATCTGAGTTGAAATTTTTGGTTATTTTGATACAGGGTGAGTTATCCTAACAATAAATCAACATAGGGGAAAAATATTATTCCGGTCCTGATATTGGTTTCGATCAAAGGGCTAGTTGTTGATGCTTTTCAGTGTAATTCGTGTACCAAATTTGAATCCAATCGGCTAATCCCTGTATTTTATATGGCGGATTGAATTTTTTGTCAAAATCCACAAATCACTCTGTATCTCAGTAACGAAGCCGTTTTGGACATTCGTTTATGGCATTTTGCAATCATATTGACAGTCCCTATAACCCCATGAGTTTTGTCGGTTTTATCTCCGGACACCCTGTATGTACCTAACTCTTCATGGCCAATTTGAAAATGTTGAGAATATTTCAAAGTTTTAAAGCAAGGAATATTTTCAAAAAATCGATCAGAAGGGTGGGAAATCGTTGGGGCTAGGGACACTTTTTCCCCTAACTTTTATATTTAAGCGATTTTTGGCAGTTTCCCTAGGAAATATGGAAATCTCAACATTTTTACTCGAAAATATAATGGTTTCGACAGCATTCATAGGGTATCTCCTAAATCTTGAGTGTGTGTGAAGGATGAAAATTGTGCTTCTTCCTCAATAGGGTACCTACCTACCATAATTATTGTCCAATTCATTTTTTTATTGCATCCCCGATATTTTTAATCGTAACATCTATGTAGGAAACCTGCTCATTCGAATGGTGATATCAAAAACTGGGCTTGTTAATTAAACATAAGGGAGGTGACGATTTATAGGCGACAATCTTTTTATTTGTTAAATTTTAAAAAATGCAATACTAAGATGATAGTGAAAAATATCCCACTAGTACTAATAGGATCTAGACATGGGTAAGTTTGTGCAGGTATAGATAGTTTATTTCCACATACTGAAGTATTTGAATATCTATATTTCAGTATCTATTGGGCTCTAAACGCTAACGGTAGTTCGCCGTGAGGAGACAACGTTTTCCTCTTAATTTTGGCATCCTCTAGAGCAAAATCGAAGAGTTTCAGAACCGATGTTCACGGGATTTTATTTCTCATTTCGATGAGAAATGTGATCTCTCGGAGGCTATAATTTCTTAGAAAATGTTCCCTTTTGCGAAGAATTTCAAAGTTTTGCATTTCTATAGATGAACTCGTTTTGATGGAGAGTTGTTCGATATATCCGAGGTTGACGATAAAAGAATCTACTGACTGAGCAAGTCAACTTCGTCTGACTGGTATTGCTAGTTATTCTGTTTTTATAACTGTTTCGTAATAAAAGTCGTGGGCCTCCTCTCTGAACCATTTATTGAACAACCTTTTGAGACAATTAAATACATTTGATTCATGCTTCTAGCCATTGTCAAGCCTCTTTTCCTTATCTCCTTAACAGTTGACTTTCCTCCATAATATCTGTCATATCTGTTCTGTCAAATCGTCATCAAACTATAATGTTCTAAGATGAGTACAGTGTTTCCTTTCGTGGAAGTATTTGTGAAATATTCGAAGGTCGCCGACTTTTCTACGGCGTTCTAATGCTGTCATGAAATTCGTGATTGTTGCATCACCAACCCGGTGAATGATTCGTTTCTGTATGTTTGGGTGCTGAATTCCATATTTGAGAACAGTATCCTAAAACGGGCCAAATATGTGCTTTGTAGATCATAAAGGAGCTGTTGAGGTGAAAAGTATCTTTTAGTTCGGAATGAGAAGCCGAGTTTTTGTGAAGCAGCTTTCACGATGGATATGACATAAATTTTCCATGAAACAGTATTACTGATGCAAATACCGAGCATAAATATGGTTGACTTTGTGGAATTGGTGATACCAGGCATTGTTATATCAGGTATATATAATTATACTTTATTAAATGGAAAATACAATAAACATTCACTAAATATCAACAAATGTGAATACATTCCTCTTGTTGATAGAAAAGAACATATGCATTCCTACTGACAAGATATTTTGACGATACTGATGAAGATATACGAGAATCGTTATATTCGAACCGAGATTCGAACCAAACATTCGAATATGGGTGTTTACAATAGGCCGTGTAGTGTCCGGTGTAGATGGAGCCATTATGGTTGGAAATAGCATGAAGGTCGAATCCAGGCTCAAGTCCTAACCGTTCAGGGAAAAGTCGACGATGACATTCTGTTTCTCAAAGAAGCCCCATTCTGCGAGAAACGTTTTCGGATGAAAAACGAGAATTTTGGGAAACTTGTTGATTGAAATTGATTTTAAACATTTCTGCTTCTTTCTGCACTTTGATTCCAGTGGTCGAATATTCTCTTCATCACTGGAACTACGTTTGTGTGAATTGGAAACCGTGGATGATGGGCACATAGTTGAAAAAAAGTTGTTTCTAATAGTTTGAGGTTTGGTGAGGACGTTCCGTCAACTGATTTTAAAAAAGTAGATGATATTGATACATCATCATCAACTAGAATGAATTCATATCGCCAATCTCCTTCAGAAGATCTAGTGCGTTGGGACCAAATACTCCGTAGGTTCATTGAGGCCAGCTTCCATAGAGGAAATACAAGTTTGAGTTTTGTAGGCGTTGAATTCAGCTAGGTCATTGTTGGTTCCTCAGTTATTTTAGCAGACGATCTCTATTGATACAGTTGACCTGCCTTCGTCGAGAGTTCTTGGTTCCCTTATGGGATGAAATACGAATTCTGTAAAAGAACGCAGTAGTTAGAGTACTGTTACCTGCAAATCTTGGATATATGGCTTCATATAGTGCATGATTTCGAGTGAGTTTGGGATTTGGAGGGATTCTGCCGCCTGGTGTTTGATGAGAACTCGACCTTCCTGCCGAACTTTCATTGGTGTTGATTGCATTTTTTTCTTTTGATCTTAAATTTGGTGAATTGGGCGCCTGTACTTGATTCTTCCGATGCGCGGGTCTTGATTTAACAGTGTGTTTGTCTAGTCGAGTCTCCGCGTGTTGTCTTATGTAGCTGTTTATGAAGTCTGGATTTATGTTTGGGCCACTGTAGATAAATCTATTCGGGTTATAACATGGTGCATTTACTGCCATTCTTATTGAGACATTTAAGAATGTTTGTACGACACTGCGCATTGGCCCCATGCGCTTGATGTATACGAAACTATTGGAAGTAGAATGGTTCTTATTAGGCGCAGCTTCAACTATAAGGCCATGTAGCTTCTGCGTCCTATTAGAAGCTGTAGGTTATGCCTTGCGGCTTTACCGAGGTTTTGTCATTTTGTGATAAGTTGTCTGAAGGTTAGTTCGTTGTCTAGGGTTACCCATAGATATTTTGCCTCGTCTGCCCATGATATTTGTGTGTCGTTTAATATTACGTGTCCTGTGGGTTTGGTACGTCGTAGTGAAGAGAACAGCTTGGCTTTTCACTGCATTTATTTCTATTTTCCAATTTTTAAACCAGGTTTCCAGTGTGTCTATTTGTTAGTATCATCCTGCTAGCAATACTTTATTTAGTGCATGATTTCGAATGACTTCGGTAGTAGGGGGGATTCTGCCGCCTCGTGTGTGAGGAGAACTTGACCTCCCTGCCGATCGACGATCCCGTTAGCTCAATTGGCAGAGCGTTGGGCATGCAACCCAGGGGTTGTGAGTTCCACTCTCACACGGGGCGGTGGAGTTCTTTTATTTTACGTTGTCACTAGGGCTTTCCATCAACTTCGCTGGAAAAACTTTCATTTTATGGAATAAGAGGCACGCCATTGAGATTATTTGAACCTTATTTGGAGATAAGACAGCAGTATGTACATTTGAATGATAATTCTAAATCTAAACTCAAAGAAATTCAACACGCAGTTCCTCAAGGATCTGTTCTAGGACCGTTGCTTTTTATCATATATGTATGCGCAGGCACTGGTTTTTGGTATCAACAATTTGCTTTCTACCGTTTTGGTGATTGAAAATATTAGTCCAGACAAGACAAATCGATTCTTTTTTATTCTGACATTTTTTACACACTTCAATATGACAACGATCATACAGCATGATGAAAAACTAAAAACAAATATAAATTCCTGCAGAAACAATACACATCAATGATCTGTCCTACCACATGATAACGAGATATCAGATTGTCCTTTTTGCAGATGATACATCTTTTATCAGTTCGAATAAAGATATTCCACTTCCTCTTGATCAAGCTGATGCTCTAATAATTGAAGCAGAAGCTTGGTTGTCTGCAAATAATCATCAGCTCAAAAAAGAGAAAACACAAAATTGAATAATTTCTAGTAACAATGTAATTACGGAGGGTAACCACTGTAAACTGCTTGGGATTGTTATAGATGACTGTCTTTATTTTTGCTCAGACAACTCAAACAATGCCTTAATCCAAGTTTGTTAAAAAATATATATTTCGGTTCATTTCATTCCCTGATCAGCTATGGAACTGCTTTATGGGGTGACTCAGTTAATTCTATCCAAATTTTCAGGCTACAGAAACGAATGATTAGATTATTAGCTAGGGTGGGTCATAAAGAACATTGTCAACTACTTTTCAAGCGACTAGGTATTTTACCACTTCCGTGTATTTACATATTCCAGAATTCGACTGAAATTCATTCTAGAAGGCAGAAATTTCTAGCATTCATGATCACAATACACGCACTGCTAGTTCAGATGATTCAATTGTGCCTCGATACAGATTGGTCAAATCAGAAAAGAATTCATTGAATTTCAGATTGTATAATAAACTACCTCATTATGTTAGATCTATGGATAAAGAATGTTTCAAAAATAATGTTAAGAAAATCCTTCTTGGACATTGCTTTTACTCTGTTGATGAATTTTATAATAATGTTCTTGTTATATTCGTTTTTTTTTATTAAATGTTTGTCTTTTTTCTGTGACTACTATTATTTGTGTATGATTGTACTTTATTTAGTTGTAAAAAAATTTTTCTGTGATTTATTTTCTACATGATTCTGTAACCCTGACGTGCTATAAACCATAATATGTATGAGTAACATAGTCAAATCTATCTATCTATCTATCTATCTATCTTCATTATTTCGCTATATCTGCCTACCGCCAAATATTTCGAGGGTGGGTGATGGTTTATTGCTGACTCACTTACCGTCCATCAACTTCATTATTTCGCTATATCTGCCTACCATTAATCATTTCGAAGGTAGGTGATTGTACATGTCTGACTCACTTACCGATGGTATGCTGCGTTTCTATCGAGAATAAGAAGCAGGAGGTGAACCCATAGATGTTGAAGACACACGGCGACCAATTCGAATCGGCCTGTTTCGGAGGCAGATGGTCATCCTCCAGGTCGCCGTGAGTGAAGGCGATCAGCCACCAGATCAGCGCGAATAACAGCCAGGAGCCCAGGAAGCCTAGGAATAGGTACATTTTTCAATATAAAATTGCACACGAAAGCCATTTTTAATTTCTCCTATTTTTACATTGCCTTCCCTCGTTGGTCCGTGAACTGGAACCAACGACAATGAGTCGACACTTGTGCAGGGTAGGGAATCATACATACACAAACAGCCGTGGCCTGATGGGGTTTGTATAAACTGAAGACACTAGATGGTATTAGTAGATAAGAGTTCGAACACAGCTGAACTTCTGCCCTCTTCTATTTTCTATATTACAATGGTTTGAGTGAATAAAAGAATAATACATAGATTCCGCTCTTTGTCTTTTCAATGTCCCTAGAAGCGTCTGATTATCAGATACGATTTCAGAGGTTAGATTTCCTGTCAAATCAATCAGAGCCGTAGATATGGAAAATCGAAATAGGATGTAAACACTCACTTCAATTCATAGCGATACGGCACTTTTGGCAGAGCAACAATTATAAAAATGAAAAGAATTCATGGATCTACCTTTTAATGACAAATTAACACATGAATATAGTTATAGCTAGTTCGGTCGGTATTGAAAACGCCATTTAATGATATATCACGTTGCAATTTACTTGATTTCCTCGGTTTCGTTCTCAAATTTCCAATTTCATTACGTAGTTTCATGATCAATTCCTCTTTCGAGATAGTTTTTTATGCATTTCGTGTGATGATAATAATCGATTCTCTTTTTGAATAGTTTGTTTTGTAAGTGGATGGAACCGCAGATTCTCTTGAACAAATCTAAAAATCTAGTGTTCAAAAATGGGCCTGAAATAAAGTTTTATTCTAATCTGCTTCAGAAAGTGGATCTTGTTTCATACATTCCTTCTATAAGAGAATGGGGTTGATATTTCCTTTGGCGAATTAAATGAATGAAATGAAACAGCAGGATATTTTCATTTTTCTACTCACATAACTAAAATGGCATTTAGCGTACGGATATGTACCACCCTAAATGATCGATTAATCACGGATTGTCGATCTGTGATTTATTCGAAATATTAAACACGTTACCATGACAACACGATTTCTTAAACACATTACCATGGCAACGCAGTTCATCAAACACAGCTTCGGTAATTTGAGACATGTCTGGCCTGTCAATTGTATTAACTGTCAACTGTTATTTCCAAATTTTGTATCAGAATTATTCAAACAATATTCGTTTGTATCAGAATTCTTCATTAAAAATATATGCGAAATGTAGACGAAAGTGAAATTGAAGAGAATGTTCTGGTACTTGCATATCTCCAAGAAGTTCAAAAATGAAGCATCCATCTTTGAAAACAATTTATTTATTCTGCGCTAAGCATGACAATAAACGTGAAACAAAGGTTAGTAAGCAAATGGACTGTACACATCTACAACCAATATCACTCATACGTGTCTCGGTGGTTGCATGCAGTTGCATGTATTATGTTCTCAATTCCCATTCCTTTCGAATTATGTTGCAGGTTAGCAGGAATAGCAGGTATGATAATGTTATTTTCGGAGTTCGTAGAAAAAGCATAGTTAACGCTTTTATAAACTCTTCTAGACACTCGTTTATTAAACACTCGCTCCGCTCTGCTCCGTTCGTGCTTAAAATACTCGTTACTAAAAGGACGTTTATGACACTTGTTACATAATATACTATTATGCTTTCCTCTCAATATTTTATGAAATTATATTGCAATTCTGACATTCATAGTATTCATTGTCAAATCCAAACAATTTTTAATGAAAAAGCGCTAATGACTATGGTGCTTTTGTCACAATGCAAGAGGTGTGTAACTCAGTGAATGTCAATATTCAAACACACTTGACAGTTGTTATTTCTGTGTGCGAACTCTAATCTAACAAATACCAGCCAGTGACTTTAGTATACAGAGATACGAAAGCACTGACCGGACATGATACTTTTTTTTTATAATTGCCAGTTTGAACTGGCATTAAGCTATAATTGCCAGTTTGAACTGGGAATTAGCCATAATTGCCAGTTTGATCTGGCAATCAGCCATAATTGCCAGTTTGAACTGGAAATTAGCCATAATTACCAGTTTGATCTGGCAATTAGTCATAATTGCCAGTTTGAACTGGCATTTAGCAAAATAATTGCTAGTTTGAACTGGCATTTAGCTATTATTGCCAGTTTGAACTGGAAATCAGCCATAATTGCCAGTTTGATCTGGCAATTAGCCATAATTGCCAGTTTGAACTGGCATTTAGCAATAATTGCCAGTTTGAACTGGCATTTAGCCATAATTGCCAGTTTGAACTGGCATTTAGCTATAATTGCCAGTTTGAACTGGCAAATAAGCCATAATTGCCAGTTTGAACTGGCATTTAGCGCTTCCGTACGAAAGGATCTAGTCATGTTATCGCCATCTAGTGACGCCAAAAAACGCGAACGATTATTTCGACCAACGCAAAGGGCGAGTGGACTGATAATGACTTATTGCCATTCAATTACTCCACTGTGTCGTTAGAGCCCTATAGTATATTGTTCAACAAGGACGGAATGATAGTGATTTTCCCCGAGAATGAAATTTGCAGCCTGAGCGAATAATGCTGCAATTGCTGCAATCATTCGAGTGGGAAATTAGCATTCCCTGCGAGTTATACACCATAATTTTTCTACGGCTGTGACAGATAACAGCGATATTTTTGATTTCTTCGTCTTGTAGCCATCTGATTTCCTCTCAAGTAATGCGCATCTATTAGACAAAGCTGTCATTGCTTGAACTGTGACATAACATTTGCGGGGTACTTTCGTACGAGAGCACTAAATGCCAGTTCAAACTGGCAATTATGACTAAATGCCAGTTCAAACTGGCAATTATGGCTAATTGCCAGTTCAAACTGGCAATTATAGCTAAATGCCAGTTCAACCTGGCAATTATAGCTGATTGCCAGTTCAAACTGGTAATTATGACTAAATGGCAGTTTAAACTGGCAATTATGGCTAATTGCCAGTTCAAACTGGCAATTATGGCTAATTTCCAGATCAAACTGGCAATTATAGCTAAATGCCAGTTCAAACTGGCAATTATAGCTGATTGCCAGTTCAAACTGGTAATTATGACTAAATGGCAGTTTAAACTGGCAATTATGGCTAATTGCCAGTTCAAACTGGCAATTATGGCTAATTTCCAGATCAAACTGGCAATTATAGCTAAATGCCAGTTCAAACTGGCAATTATAGCTGATTGCCAGATCAAACTGGCAATTATAAAAAAAAGTATCATGTCCGTTCAGCGCTTCCATACAGAGAAGTGCACAAAAAACGGCCAATACTGTAACTTTTGAATGATTCGAGATAGGGTTTTGGAAATTGATGGGTAGCAAGTACACCTAATTGCTCATTTTGAAAACAGTTTGTCTTTTATCACTTCCAGTTTCACTGGAAACGGCCCCAACTTTTAATCTTCAAATGGGACACCCTGTATTGTATTCCATAATGGGTTAGGAATTATCATGACAAATTCAACGATACCGGGTTTGATAGAGTTATTATATTATTATTATATAATTTGAATAACAAACCTCCAGAAACAAACCTATTGATAGGGATCTAACACTGGTATATAATAAAGAACATATACAAACATATTAAGATTGGTATACCCACCCCCAAATTAATCAGAATGTTCAGTAGCGGCGTTAGGGTATGGCGCGGTTGGGCGACCGCCCAGGGCGCCGGATGAAAAGGGGCGCCGCTAAATCCTCTATAAATTCCTCAAATTTTTCAAATCAACGTCATTAGCGCATCTCACAATCAACAGATATAGATCTCAGTAAATGCACAGAAATGTTGAAAGAATGCTGCACTTTCTCGTAAGAATATAGAAATACTAACTCTGAAATCGCTATTTTAACTGCAGAGGAATTGGCTGAAGAACTAGAAATTGAACCTAAGCTTGGACCTAATCTTAGTACCACATGGATAATTCAATATGTTGAGCGTCAAGCTGGCGAAACTGCCCGCCACGTGCCAATAGCTTCTACAGAAAAAAATCAGGTTTAATTTTTCATTCATTTCAGAATGATGAAAGTAAGATATGGTGCGCGTATTCGGCCATTATTACGTATTGAAAATTTCAGAAAAATCACTCGAACGCCTACTATGATTTCTCTACGGCACAACGAGCGAGACGTTGATTCTGCATTTTCCTGCAAGATGTTGATGGTGCTATTGCTGCTGTTACGAGTGGAAATAAAATAGCAAATGGGATTATTCAACTCTGCATGAATTTGAAAAATCTGCGACAATATCAAAACTGACAGATTTCACAATTGTGCAATGTCGCCATCTATTAGAAGATCGACGGAACCGCAATGATCTCGCTGTTCTCGAGAGGCCCAGTCAAATTTGTGAAACAAAAGCGCATCAGTAATTACACCATATCTTAATTTCATCATTCATTTCAGTTAATGAAATATTTGAAGTTAAATGAGTACTACAAATCTTGGTACTTTTGTACAATATAAAACAAATTTCGAAACAACTCGACCTTTGACAAGGTATATTATGTGGTGTGATACTCACCTAATCAGAATTTGGTTACCCCTGCATATGTTTTGAATTTTATAAAAGATCGCAACAAAAAAGAACTTTATCAAAATGTATGATTAGCATTGCGAATATTATTGACTTTATATACCTGTAATGGTTGCTAGTTTTCAGTTTTCCTGAGCCTATAATATGATAAAAACCTATCTGCGATCGACAATATCTCAATCTAGATTGACAAACTTGACAACTTTGTCAATTGAAAATAAAATTGCTGAAAATATTGACTTTGTTGATCTAATGAAAGAGTTTGCCAATACAAAGGCTAGAAAAGTGAAATATATTAGTTTTTAGGGGGCGCCGTAGAATTCTTGCCCAGGGCGCTGGTAGTGCTAAAACCGGCACTGAGAATGTTTTCCCTCAAACCATATCATTTTATACTATATGATTGGCCGATACACCTAATGTGGAAACATTATTCATAAAACTGTGAAAGATGTGAAGAGATTTGAAGAAATTTCGTGGATTTTGTAAAATACAAAGGTCTCAGAAAAAAAAACTGTTTATGGTATCTATTGAATTGAATTCAGTACCTTTGAAATTCGTTTGTATGATGGATATTTCATTCTGAAACAGGCCCATAGCTGTGTATTTCGAAACATCAAAGTACCCGAAGGAAAAGTATTGTGAAAAAAAGTATTAGAAAAGTACAAAATGAAAAATTGTTTCTCGTTAGCATCCAAATTCATACATCAAAATGAACATGGAAATTACTTCAAATCAAAAACTAACAGAGAAAAACTGAACTATGAAAATCATCCATTTTCAAAGTGGCCCCACAGTATTCATAAATGAAATATAAGACTAAGACTCCAAGTCAGTCGACCACACTTTATATAAAACACCACAAACCTATGGCGAAGATGGTGAGCGTCCATCTCCATTGCGAGTCGACCAACGTGGTGAAGATGTCTTGAAGGAAGCGGAGGCGACGTTTAGAGATTCGTGATTGGAGGATGTTGCAGTCGCCGTTTTTGAAAACGACGCGCTTTCGCATTCTGTTCCTCAGAGCATTTGGCCTGAAGGATCGTCTGAAAAAAGCAAGAAATATTTTTTTATTCGTACTCAATGGGCGTGTACACCTTAATAAAACTTTTAACTAATAATGATCCTTTTATACATGAATAATGATTGACGACATAATTCGATCAAACAATTAACTGGAATGTTTCATTTTTGGACATAAATAATAGTATCTTCTGAAAACGGACCCTCTTATGACGTAGAAACCTCATCTCGCCATAGTTAAAAGAAAATACCAAAAGCCCGAGGGAGTCTGAGGCAACTCTTATATTAATTCTCTCAACTGTGATCTCGCGCTAATTCACTCTGTCAGAAATCATGTATCATTCAAAATTCATTTTACACATAACGATCAATTAGACCTCAATAGTTCACCACTGTTGAATTTATTTTCTTAGCAGGTAATAACATGTATTTGCTATCAACCCTTTCAAGGTAATCCGGTACACCGTATTTTAACGTGGATATTGTCACAGATTAACAAATAAGGTTTGTTAATCTGTGATATTGTGCCTAATTTCTGGAAATAAAGGTTTATCGAACCTGTGCACAGGTAATTAATCCTTCAGGTTGGTAAAGTAGAATATATAAAAGTTAGCCAAGCCAAGGTCAGTTTAGTTCATTGTACCAGTATATTACCTGACGAAACTACTGTGTTAGCGAAACATCGTGTGTTTGAGAATTTTGTGGAAATCTTATCGTTTGTGAAGTTTTTATGTTTGCCATGGGTTTCCATCAAGTAACGGCCGAGTCAATTTGAAGAAAGGTTCATTTTTTTCCATGTGTAGCAAACTTCACACGCAGGAAGAAATAATGGAAACCTTTCCTTCCTTGATATATAAATAGCTATTCATTTCGATTTAGTCTCTGAAACGAATTTTGAAAATGTTACTCACTAGATATTTCATGATAACGTTGACCCTATTATGACTGAGAGGAAACTCGTATAAACAATTGATTTATTTATTTGTTCCGATCAACACAATGAACTTGAAATATGAAACAATGGAAAACACATATCTGTTCCAAATACATGAAATTATAGTGACATGATTTATTGGACCATTCAATGAATACTATACGATATATTGTATCCAATCGAATGAAATGTTAGAGGATTTTTTTTTCTGAAATGATAATCTATGTATCTAAATTATAGATAGTAGTTATAGTTGTTACAAGCTCGATCATTATTATTCGGAAACTATGAAGGAGGCCGCACACTATCGCGGAAGGGAATGGATAGGAATATAATGAAACGGAACGAAAAGGTATGAAAATTTTGGATCTCCGCACATTATCGCGGAATTCCACGAACATTTATATCAGTAATTTTTAGGGACTTGGTTTCCCGATCAAGTTTCATTTCAATTGATGTATATTGGTATTTACCAATGGACAGTTTACTTACAAAGAAAAATAAATTGAGAGAGAAAACCTGAAAAAACAAGAATTTGAGGAATTCCATCACCTATCCCCTGATCTTCTAGAAGACGAGCAAAAATTTTTCAAGTACTTCCGAATATCTAGTGAGAGATGTTATGATTTATTTGGGAATTCTGGACGAATATAAACAAGATACAATATTGCAAAACGATATAGATCAATGGTACAAGATAAACACGTTTCTTGGTACTAGTTTTTGCCACAAATTAGTAGAAGGGCTGCGGAACTACTGAAAAATTCGCTCGGTGTTAAATGCTTTCGAAATTTCCCATCGGCCTTCTTGAGGGAAACGGGGATGCTTATTGAATAGGCCAGTTGACTAATATTTTTTATTTCTCAATGAGAATCATAAGTCAAGTACCTTTCAATTTTATATTGTTTTGAAATTTTCAATAATGCTACGGTAATTTTCAAACGGCTAGGAATTCTCCGCGACGAAAAACTGACGTCACGATTTAGTAAGTAAGGGCAGACCATAGCACAGTTGCCATATGTGGAGATACGACGATTGCGAACTTTATAAATATTAGTCATTCAATTATCCATAAATTCTCAATTATGTATTGGTAATATTGCTTATTATTATTGAAGAATTAATTGTCTCAAAATGTATCCTCATGTGCTTATAATACATTTGTGTTAATAATGATTATATTAATTCACATAAGGGGACATTTGAACCGGTAAACGCCCGGGTAAACGTGACAACACAGCGCACCACGAATTGTGGGCGTGATCTTGTCAGTTCACAGCACTAAGCACAATGTTGTCAAGTCTCCAACATTTACATGATAGTATGTTATGGAGTTTACGGTATAAGAAATATTTGGACCTGGTAGCTCGAAAATGTCATGAATTAACTATAATATCAATATCATGGGTTCCTCCTATTATGTTTCATTCAACTACATGACTCTAACATCTTCTTGATAACTTGATTATAATTGGTGACTTGGCAACTTTGCTTCATGAGTGGGAGTGGAAGATTATCTTATCAACAAGGAAACAGCATAAAAACTGACCTTAGCATTTATTTGACGTATCGCCAAATGGCGACCATGACGGTACGTTTGAAATGAGCTCTGAAATTCGACAATTTCGAACAATGCATAGACTCATTATTTACATAAAAAAGGCGTGAGAAGTGACAACGCAGTGGAGTAATTGAATGCCGCAAATATTCATTATTAGTCCATTCGCCCATTGGGTCAGTTTATCCAATAAATTGCCGCCTATAATAAAGTTTGGAAATTTCGGGTATACGTTCGGATATAATATGGAAAAACCTTAGAGTTTGGGAAACTGTTGTTATTCTCTACTTGCTTCATCTATTGAAGGATTCAAAATGAATTTACCTTTCAGATAGTCATTTTTCTCTAATTGTATTGCCAGATCTGCTATCTCTGATATATTTCGTTTTCTCGTCATCATTTTCATTTTTTCTTATAAGTGCCATATTTTGTTCCTTCTGATTTGAATAGAATCTGTTATTTCCATTTTAATGATGTATCAGAAGTTGATGCCATTGTTCAGGTGATTTAGAATGTTGTTCACAAATTATTTCTTAAGTATTCGTAAGGATTATGAAACGTACGTATATAATACCACGAATTCTTCAAATTCTGTCGATTTTTATAATCCAAGAAGATTTGGATATGTGACAAAATTTTTGAAATAAAACCGAATTCCTTTCTTTCGAATGCCTTTGCCTCAGGTATAAATACATTTGATTGATGAACATGACGAAAATCGAAGAATGTGTTCTATCTGAAAAAAGCAATAGTAAAATTACATGAGTCAAATTAGATTTACGGTTTTTTCTCTAATATAATAATCATTATTATTATTATTACTTGACAATAAGGGCAGAGGCAGAGACTATTATGTCCAGAAGTATAAATTTATACTACAGTACAAAGTGAGTGATATCGTAAAAACATATGAATCGAAAATATCGACAATAAGGGAATTCTACACAGTAGGAACAGTCAGAAATTAGAACACTGGAACGCGTCGAAACCATTTCTGAAACTGTTCATGCTTGGAGCTGTCACATCGACCTCTGGGAGCGAATTCCATAGCCCAAATACACTATTGGCGAAAAAACGTAGCCAAACGGTAGACTTGAAGTCCTTAGGACGTCCTGTTGGGACATTCAGGACGTCCATAGGACGTTCGAATTTGGTACCGTGGACGTCCATTGGACTTATGTGGGACGCACAAATGTCCCACTAGGGACGTCCTTGAGGGATGTCCCTGGGACAACTATCGAATACCTAAATCATACAGTATTCCTCATCAATGAACACTACGGAGAACTTCCTTAGGACAACCTTACAGCAACGCTGAGGGATATCAATTGGATGTCCATAGGATGTCCCAGGGATGTACGAATTATTCTTGAATTTAAATATTTCTGGGTCCCTCTAGGGACAGACTTTGCATATAACTGATGAGGACATCCAGTTGAGTTGATGGTCCGTAGAAGGTCCCCAATAGATCCTGACAAAGTTTCCCAAGGATGTCCAATGGACTCACGTAAAGGACATTGAGTATTTATAACCTACGACCAACGATTCGTCGGCGAGGTGTAAGTTAACGTCCTCACAGGGACAACATATTGAAAGTACCGACTGAGACGTCCGTAGGACATCGAAGGAGTACAGTTCATGAAACAATTGGGACATTTGACGGATATCCCTAAGGAACATTCGAAGGATGTCCCTAAGGGACATTTCGATTGTTATACGATCCTGGAAATATTAAGGGCGTCTGTGCAAAGATATTCGAAGGAATGTATCAGGAACATTTCATGGTTGTCTAGAAGGGACATTATATTAGATCTGAAGTCATGCCAGAATATGTACTACTCGGGACTTCCGATGGATGTCTCTGAAGGAACGTCTTGAATCATATTCCATCAGGGACATGCCAAGGACGTCCTTGCATGGACATTCTACAATATGTACCACGTGAGACGTCTAAGGGATACTATTCCTAGGACATTCGAAATTATGTACCAGCTGGGACATTCCGTGGACGTCCTTGCTCGGACATTGCATGAGATGTACGGGAAGGAACGTCCCAAGGACACGTATTTCTGGTCCGGGACATTCGTACTTGAATTATACCAAATAGAGACGTCCCTAGAACGTTGTGTGCTATTAGGGTTGTATGTCCTCTCAGCCTCTCAGCATAGCATCTCCTCTGGCTCGCCTGTCTTTGAGAAATGGTATCTTCAATCGGGTTAATCCAGCTTCATAGGATAAGTGCCTGAGTGAGAGTGACATTCGGGTGACCAGACGTTTGAGTTCTCTCTAAGAGTTGTATGCCTTTTACTAGGTGCGGAGACCAGATTCAAACACCATACTCTAGTAGAGGACGTATATACGACTTGTATAGTTAACCAAATAGTTGTGGACTAGGATTGGCGAAACACATGCGCAGAAGAAAGATGCGACTATTTGCTTTGTGTACAATCGTTACCTGACCCGACCAGGAGAGATTTTTGTTGATGGTGATACCTAGAACACGTTGTTCGTCCACGGACGGCACTATATTT